TCCAACTCAAGGCTAGCCCAATCGATTTTGAAACGCAAATTTCCCTCCGTAGATAAGCCCCTCCGAATATAAGCCCCTCCAAAAATAAGCCCCTCAGAAAGGGCCTTTGAAAAATATAAGCCCCGGGGCTTATTTTCGGAATTTTACGGTATTTGGTTAGAGTGTAGTTCTAACTTTTGAGTCAGTCTGTGCACGAAATTCTATGATGTGACGATTCAAATGAAACCTCTTCAGCCGTTTTTTAAGACGGTGCTTTTTTTTTTCAGCATTTTACAAAGCAAAATTTGGAAATTTTGCCAAAATTTGACTTTGGTTACTTTATACTTTCGGCAGGGAAAGGGTTAAAATATACAGCCTGCTAGAAATGTCCTGACAAAACGCGATAACCATACATGTAAAAATCGAGGCTGTTTGGGCACATCTCATTAAATTTTGGTTGCGTTGGAATGTTTTAAAGGATGATACTAAGTGGCTCTTGATGATACGCACTTAGAGAACGGTCCCCTACTTTGTAATGGTTTAGCCGGCTGGATTCCCGATTAATGCCATAATTTTGTCACGAGGAAACTGATTCTACAAGGCGTTTGACCAATTGGCAAGAGACAGGTACAGCCACTTTAATTTCATTCAGCGAATTACATCTAAGGAAATTATTTTAAAAAATTCATCTTTAACACCTGTTAAATTTAAGTTCGTAATTAAAATTACCTGGGTCAAAATTCTGAAGCTAGCTGTATAGTGTCTTCCATCCAAATCCACATACTTCATCGTCATTAAGCCATCTGATACCACGATGTAGGCAAACACCACAGTAACAACAAATGCTGTGTACAAACAGAGGATCGCTGTGCTTATGATGAAACCCAGAAATGATTTGTAGTTCTTCTTCCCAATGCAGTTGTTCACCCACGAACAATGATGGTCAAACCGGCTGATGCACACATCACAAATAGCTGAATAATCAAGTAATTTACAAAAAGAAGATTAATGGAAAAAACATTTGGTCATGATTTAGTATTAAATACAACAGTCATTACTACCGCTAAAAAGCTGAGTAGTAAAGAGCTTTTCAGAATCCTTCCCCTATAGCCGGAGTATCAAGCAATTCTTGGGGGGAGGCGAAGGGAGCAGCAAAAAAAAAAGGGCGTCAGCAAAGGGAGGGAAACTTCCCTCTCCTCTTTAACGATTCGCATTAATTTCATGGAGCGTTAATTTCTTATAATAAGGTAATTGCGATGTCTTTGACATGAAATAATCTTCCATTCTCATAACAGGGACCGCGAAGGGGGTAGGGCTGGGGGGGGGGATGCTTTAGCCCAGCCACTTTTTCGGATGGTAATTTTTTTTTTTACCTTGGTTACCCGGATCTGTCACTTACCACACAACAAGGTTTAGTAATCTGACAATACTGAACACCCACAAACAGAGAACAGACAAACTTTTCTTGTAGCTGTTGCCAATGAGTTTGTAGCTCTAAATGACAATCGGAAAGGCAACTTTGGCACCTATAGAGAATCTGACTAATGTCAGGGTGACACTCAACCATTGCATGTGTTGGGTTTAACTTGAAAGTCAATTCATTTAAATTTTGGTCTAAAGTGGGAGCCAGGTTGTAACTTGTTGTCTTAAGTTCCGAAGTAATCGTTACAAATTTATATTACTGTTGGCAGTTTTAGATGGATTTATAGCCATTTCGGAAGACTTGAATTTGAATTTTTCCCAGGGGAGCATGCCCCCGCACCCCCCTCATTTACTCACGCTTATGCATTTGCATTAGCCCCCGCCCCTACTTAAAAAAATCCACTCTACGGGCCCTGCGTAATTGAAATAAATTTCATTTTTACTTTGAAGGGTTTGCAAGGTTTTGCAAGGACAAATTTCTGGTACATTTAGACATAGACATGGAAATCCCCACTAGCCCCCCAAAGTTGAAATCCACTGTCTGTCCTATTAGTACAGTAAAAACCTGCGACTAAGGACCTGCATTTTCCCAAGTTAGCCTATTACTAACAGGTTCTCATATAATAAATTGGTAATTAGCACAAAGTTAGGCCCTTTAGTTTCTTCAATAGATTCTTATTTTCTGAAGGAAAAAATACATTGTAGCTAAGAGTATTTAGTGGTCCTCATCTCATTCCTTTTGGTAAAACCTTTAGAGCAGTTTTCACTTGACTGTCGAAAGTAATTGAGGAATTGGTTTGGTTTTGGTTTTACTACGCCCTTTGGTTGGCTAGTGTATTTACTTTGGTTTTGGTTTTACGACAGTCAAGTGAAAACCGCTCTATTACAATAATTGTAAAACCTGTATACCATTATAATGTTGCAGTTGGAGTTCAATCAGTGTTGACTTATCTTATTGGCCCAAGTGAACGAGTTTTTGAAAAAGATTTTAGAAAATAAGAACCTGTTTCAAATTTTAGCCTGGTAAACTGTCCTTGTATAGAGACTAAATGGCAAATTTTAACCTAACAGGTTCTTAAAAAACAGTTTCTTAACTTAGTTGCTGGCTTTTACAGAAGTAGCGTGCTTGACTAATAAATATCCCAAAGGCCAGCAATCCACTTAACTTACAGCAGTGTTTAGACCTTGCTGGCTTGACAAGCTTGCAGGTATAACATTCCTGTGCTGTGCTGTAATACACTCCATCGGGCTCATAATCTTTCATGTATTCAGCATGGTGGGCTGCTGTTATTGCACCAGGGTCTTTTGTAGAACAAATCCAAAAAAAAGTCACATTGATGGCTATAAAAACATATTCAACAACACTGAAGACGTTAATTGAATCAAAGAAGGGAATAACTTTGAAGGTGTAAATAGATGACCCCCCAATGACGAGAAAACCATACAGCAGCTGCACACAGGGGTTTCTAAAAGGAAACAAAAGAAACAATACTTCAAAATGTTGAACACATTTTGTACAAAACAGGACTAACTCTTGAGCTGAACTACGTAAAATAAGTTTTTTTTTAAGAGCCAGATATTATCAACATTATGTTAACTGCTGCCTGCTGGTTAGCTCAGTTAGCCATGGCTAAGTTCCAATATGCTGAGCAGTCACGGGTTGAACCCCAGCTGGACCACCAACCAGGATGAACTAATAAGATCATGCTGGTTGTGATTTAAGACCTTTGCTAAGTTCAGATGATCACATCATTGAGCATTGACATCAGACCGTTGGCCTTGTCCCCCTTGTGCTTGTTTATAGGTAATGGTCAGTGGTATATGAGAACCATGCATGCTACACCGGTAAATTGGAGCCTAGCTATGCTGCGTTGGCCTTACCATGCAAATGTGGTCAAAGAGTCCTAAGATTGAATCCCTTGATTGTGGGCCAATGTAAAGAAAAGCTGCATCACAACTCACTTTGTAGCAGCTTATACCATTCAATAAGTTTCACTATTCAAGCGTACCGTGTAAACAAGATGTAATTTGTGATGTTGTTTATTCCACGAGTTATTGATACAGGAACACATCTTTCAAATGCCGATCCAGCCAAATGCATAGCCTATAAAATCAAGTTTAAAAATTGACGCTGTATTAAAACTAAAGCTTATTTACGAATGCAGCTATTTATCATAGGAGATTCACCAAAACAAAAACTTACAGACAATAAATTTCTTCGCATTAACCCGATCCAGCCATTTCGATGATATTCATACTTTCCCGCAATAACTATGTATGATATTGTTACGAAAGAAAGCGTATACAAAAAGGCCATTAAAAGAAAATCCATCATTCTCTGCACATTTCGTCCGCCATCATGGTTTCTTGCTACACTTTCTTACACATACACAACGTAGCTAAAGTCGGCTGGAAATTGTGGGCTCAAAGTTTATTTCTGTATATTTTAAGTTGTCATGGTGACCTCCTCTGCACCAATCAAGCGACAGTGAGTCATCTGTTGCATAGCGAGAGCAAACAATTTTCAAACAGTTTATCACCAAAAATTTTATCGTTTGAATATCATTTTGAGAAAGTAAGTCATCGAGGTAAGTGTCACTTGGTTCGTGTCCGCGAAATTTCAGTTGAAAAATAACATTCTCCGTCGATTGTTTTCAGGGTTAGATATCGTGACTTTGTCGCGGTAGGAACTTTTCCTTATCATTCATTCAACATTCAGATTGCATCAGACGGCACGACAAATGACTTGCCGACCGGAGAAATAAAGTCGCCACTAACCTGTGAACAGGCCTTTGGTCGAGTGGGGAACTAGCTATTTTTTTCCCCAAACAGAGAGCCTGTTCACAGGCTAAGTCGCCTCCAGATTCACATGTCTGAAAAATTTAAGTTATATAACGTGTGTTTGGTTTTTGTTTCAGGATTTAAACATGGCTAGCGCTCAAGCTGCTGTTTCTCCAGTTGCTCAACCATCAAGGCCAAAATCAGTTTCAAGGCCAAAGAGATGGAGTGAAGAAGTTGAAGAAGGTAACATACATGTCTATATATTTAAATTCGAATGTTGCCGATTTGACACCAGTTGTAATAAATACTTATCCCTGTTTTTCTGTTCACCAGCTTACCGATTTCAGATCGCTGGTTATAGAGATGTTCATGAATATCGCGATGTCAAGCAAAAAGAACCCGTAAGTGATTATAAATATATCTTTCCTTATCATTAGAGAGGCGAAAACTGCTTGTTTCCCAGTTTTATAGGGAACTTTCTGTCTGACCAGCCCTTGGGTTCCTCCCTAACTGCTTAAAATACTTTCTAGAAGGTATTTTTGGGGCACGGGTAGAAAATTAGGCATGAAAAAATATTAAGTTAACAAAAATTTTCTTCCCTATTAATAATTCAAACACGGTGTCAAGTGACAGATGACACTTGTACTCAGAAATAAATTAAGAAAACTAGCAAAGACATTGGTCAAAAAGGAGGAGTTCTTATCCCAAAACAGGGAACTTGCACCATTACCAAACTACTAACTTCGAAAGACAGTTTGGATTTCAGTGTAGGTTTAAAGTTTCTGAAAAGGACAAAGTAGAAATCATAATGAGAATGATTTTGATAATGATGATGATGATAGTAATAATAACACACCAAAAACCTATGTTGAAGTTAGTAATAATATGTAAGGGGCAACAGTGCACATGACTATAAAATCATAGGCTCCTTGAACACCACAGAGGCTCAAGATCAGTCCATGTACATTTTCAGATTTTGCCAAAATATTTTGTGATTGGAGTTAAGTCTCACGGATTTTTTTATTTAACGAAAGTTTTCTTCCTTTGGCCTTCTATCACATGCATTTTATTTCATCCAAAATATTTTCTAGGTACATTTCTTATATTTTGTTGTAACTTGAAAAGTAGTATTCAGCATTTTCATTAATTAAAATAATTTAATACAGCAACTGATCATGCTTCAGGACTGTTGTGTATTATTTCCCTATGAGAAAGTACTAAATATTTATGTCTTTTCTTAGGACCGCTGGCCCCACAATGGATATGTGAAGAAACTTCAGAGGAAAGATGGGTGTTTCATTTACTTTGATAGACAAAGAGAATGTCTTGACAAAGATGTCTATAAATGCAAGTTATATGGATACTAAAAACAAGGGAAAAATCTTGAGTAAATTCATCACTTGATAGATATCATCATATGCTACAAGAATATTCATGGACAATAATATAATTGTCAGCAATTAATTATTGCTATTTGATTGAGGAAGCAGAATGGATGTGGTGGATTCTAAGTATCTACTGGCCAAGTCTTGGCGATTCATTTGTTACAAGCTGTATTGTGTATAGTGGAAATTGTTATAAAATATTTAATTTTATGTTTTAAATTCACATGTTTAATATGTATCGTAATCTGAGTGTATATAATTTGACGGATGTGAAGTAACAGTGACTTCACGCATGAGCTTCTTTTAGTCAGCCTAGGGTTTAATGCAGATGACTCTTAATATAATATATAATAATTTTGTAAGATGAATTATAATATAAACAGTTGACAGTAACAATTATTTGATGTAAAAAGCTATTTTATTGATGTCTTCAAACTAAAAACAAATAGAACCCTGTAGTAGAATGTTGTACAAGTATTACAATAACATATTATTTGATGTAAAAAGCTTTTCTGTTGTTGTCCTCATAGTAAAATCGAGTGAACACTGTCTTGTCAAATGTTTGTACTGTTTGCTGACCACATTAGTTAATTTGGCACGATGGTTAGTCAGTCATCTGGGCATTTTTTTCTTTTTTAAAGAATTCTACAAGTGTGTAAACAACTGGAAAGTGAGTGCAAGGAAAAGAGGAAACGAAATATTATATAATTACTCCAAGGAGGATCTTTACATATTTACCTCCTTTCATTCCCCAGATTCTGGACTTTTTCTACTGAAGGATTTTGATTCTGATCTATTTTGAATGGAGTGACACTAAAAACCAGGAATAGGAATTTATTAATCCTATGAAATTGTTGCAGCTGTTATCAAGGACCTCAATAAATAAGCATCAATCTGTTTCACTACTTTTATTGGCAAAATTTTAAAGAGAGAGCTCTGTATCCAAAGTTTGTAAAGACATCAATATCAGCGGAGCTTCCACCAACTGCAAGAACCTGATTAGAGGAAAAATGAAAAGGTGTTACAACTGAGGGAGGATATTACCGGTACTATCATGTTAGGTAATCTTTTGAATTTCCACAAAGAGAAATGGGGCTAAGTGAAGTGTCAGCTACTCCTTACCCCTTGGCGGTTGGAATGAGGAAGATGGCTAGCTCTTCAGGCTAGGCTTGGGAGAGGAACCTCACTATAAAACCTGTAAAGACTTGCTGAGGCCCTGCCAGGGTAAATTCCAACAGGCGACATGGCCCAAAAAGTAGCGACAGCGTGTAAAATGAAATCGCGAAAAGAGACAACATCCCTCAGCTAAACTGCGACAGTGACGGCAAAGCCGACAATAAGCAACAAGCATTTATAAACACCAACACGAGACATTTTAAAATTCAGACGGGTGATATGGGACCCCGTCGGCAGGGCCTCCTTGCTCCCATGCTAGAGAAGGGGTGTTTAGCAGCAGAGAATTTGAAACTTGACTAATGGTGGGGGTAAATACAAATGATTATTGTGAACAATGTCTCTGGTTAGATTCAATAAAATTGTCCTGTCATGACTCAGTTGTCTAGATGTACTTTCATAAAATTTTTGTGTGTTTGATCAATCAACTTCATTTACAGGGTCTCTGTTGTTGTTGTTCATGTAATTAATAGGAGTTTAAAAACTCCTATTAAAGGTACATTATTTTATTATAACTGTTCCTACATGAAAAAGCACAAGAGAGACTTAACAAAGCTGCAATAAATGTGTGTTTGATAGGGTAAAAAAACAACTTTGCACGTGTGTCACAAATTTTGTACATTTCTCATCTGTCCTCTGCCAACTGTGACATGAAATTCTCTTAAATCTTAGTTCTTGAGGACCTACAGTCCAACCTCCTCTAACAGGCATCTCTCTACAAACGGCCACTTTCTTCTGTCCCCAAGGTGACCGTTGAGGAGAGCTTCAACTGTACACTCAGATTGGAAAATGACAAAACCTCACATATTATAGCCAAATATGCCCATCTAATGTTTCAAAAACAAAAACAGTTCCTGAGTCAAAAATCCAATTAATTAGGTAATAAAATTATAGTATAATTATTATCGACATGGTATATGCAGCATAATTTTGTCGTTTCCGTTCATATTTCTTTCTTTCTAAATTTGTTGTAGTTGAAAAAACCTTCATTGTAACTAGACCGATGCCTCCCTTTGGAGAGTAAGGCGCAATAAAGATATACTATACTATACTGTACAACACATTGTACAAAAGAACAAATTTTTTTCATCTTACTTGATTGAAGTCCCTAAGAAAACAACTCCTGGAAAATTCACGGTCTGTGTTTGTCATTTTGAGCGTGTTGGAATAATCACCATGGCATGTGAAAAACTGTGGCAAATTTATTTTCATAGACAAGTTCTTGCTGCTTTTGCCATTATCATTACTTAAGCTCTCTAGTGTTATAAAGTATCATTACCTTGTTCTTAGGGGACTTGTCATTGACTTGTAAGGCAAAAACTGATTTGGGGGTACAGGGTACATGTGTTTTAGGGTCACCATTTATTTGCCAGTGGAAAACATGTGGCTCTGATCCAGCAGAGAGAATCTAGCAACAAAAACACTAGCCTGATTCTCAGACGTCCGAGGTCGTTCACAGTCCCTTCACTTGCCTCCCTCTTGAGAGGGAAGGAATTGTGAAGAGACCGCAAACTACCTCGGATGTCTGAGAATCAGGCTACAAAAACACTGCATTAAATATTTCTTTGATTAAATTAATACTGTATAGACATACAAATAATGAAGTGTCGAGTCAAACAAAAATAATATTATTACAAGAACAAACTATGTCCAGCAATAAATGGAGTTTTTCAATTTTACAGTCAAACCAGGAAAACCATGAACACCAGAAATATTTCTGGAATGATATGGTGTTGCAAGAAAAAGCCTGGCGTGAGAAACTAAACTGAAAGCAAGAACATTTTAGTTTGTGGTTTTGTGGCATGTCTTGATCTTTACTGTGATTGGTTGTAACACAATAAACATTGTGAAAATGAAATGATCAACATGTCACGTGCATGGGACAAAGAAAAAATCTAAGTCCCCAACGGGATTCGAACCTTTGACCTCCCACACACAGGGTGGGCACTCTATCCACTGGAGCTATGGAGAACTCACGGAGAGCGAGGCCATATACTAGGTTCATATTTGACACTTGTCCTGCCTTTCTGCAAGGATCAGCAGTGTCAATGTCGCACTGTGTGGTCAAAAAAATGAATGATGGTAAATTTTAAGCTCAGTGAAATAAATGTGAAAATAAAATGATCAGCATTTCATGAGCATGGGACAAAGAAAAAATCTAATCACATCCTGTCGGGGACTTAGATTTTTTCTTTGTTCCACGCTCATGACATGCTGATCATTTCATTTTCACATTTATTTCACTGAGCTTAAAATTTACCATCTTTCATTTTTTCAAAATAAACATTTCTGAAATATTTCAAGTGTTCATGGTTTTGCCGGTTTGACTGTAATACACTGGAGCCTCTCCTTTGAAACACTACCTCTGTTGAAGGGACACCTCTATTCAGGGGAAAGGGACACTTTTTCTGAGACCCGAGTTTAACCTCCATTCAGGGGACACCTTAGTACTCAAAAAGTGTTTGACCACAAAGGGGGTTGATATCTTCAGGTGTGCACTAATCACAAATGTGGAAGCTTACACAAACTGAACTGTCTCACTTAAATCAATGAAATTGACTTGTTAGTGAATTCAACTTTATAATGTCACAGAGATAAGTTAATGATGATTTCTGTATGTTTTCTTTGCTGGTTAATATTATTATTAACAAACCCCAGCCCAACCTCTATTCAGGGAAAACTTGCCTCGGTCCAGAGGGTGTCTCCTGAATAGAGGTTCCACTGCATATGACTTATGAATGATCAATATGATAACTAATGTTGTCACCTTGGATGATTATAACAGAAACATAGCGGGTTGCATAAGGGTGACTGGTCAGAATGCATAGGACCAAATTGTGCAGACAGCAATAGCTCAGTAAATGAACTATTACTTTCTGCATAAATCGGTCCTGTGCATAATTTGGTCCAGGGTTTGATTGGGGTTGACCCTAACTACATTAAAGAGGCAATATGGTAACTGTTACCCTTTATATAGTTAGGGTCAACCCCAATCAGACCCTGGACTTCAAATCAAAATAATTATATTATTTTATTAACTGCGTTGAAGAGGCTGTAGTTTTTTTGAAGCAGAGCATTCCATCTCTCCTTTCCTCTCCCTGTGTTCCAGCCTCGCTTTATGTTAACCAATCAAAATGTTTGTTTATTAAAATAAGAGAACCTAATATCCTTTTGTGAATTTCCAGTGACCAATACCAGAAAACTATGAAGCCACTTACAAGATCATTGTGAAAGAGTGCTGTTTGCTGACAAGATTCAGTTCTAAGAACAGCTGTACAAGCCATGGACCTCAAATGCCACACAGATAGGGATGGACCACCGCCACAAACCTTATTTGACACAGAAAATATAAAATTACAATATTACAACAGGGTGCAAAGAAAGTCAGTTCTACTACGCAAGCTGTAGCTCAGTGTTGCTAAAACGAGGGTAAGGGTAGGACCAAGGATAAGGGTGGGGGTGAGAGTGATAACCCTTACCCTTGTTAGGCTAACAATGCCAGAATGTTGCTAGCATGTACAGCGTACTTTCTCGAGAGTCATATTAACTAGCCCATTGATGAGCAATTGATATTATACACCTGTATATTGATTACAGTTCTTCTGTATTGGAATTCTCCAAAAAACTTCAATTGCCCATCAACTGGCAATTACCTGGGCTGGTAGCAAAATCCACTAGCCCTGGGCTATTAGACTCAACTTTCCCTTGCATGCTGCATTATAATCTAATATTATTATCATCTCATTCATTATTCCCTTGACCCTGACAGTTTGATAAAGGAGAATTGTTGTTTATATTTGTAAACAATATATCTTTTTTAATAAACAGTTATGTGTAAACATTACTTCACAAGATTGTCGTACTAGTTATTAAATTTCTTGTTTTTGTATAATAATCCAATACCATCCCTGGTCCGTTTGTATTCAACAGTAAAGTTATTTCAAAGTTTACTAGAGATGAAACAGCTAAATTTTGCACATTTTTCATTTAATTTCATTGCTAGAGTGTCAAACATAAATTTTCTCCTAAATCATCTATGAATCATCAAGAGAAAAGGTATTGAGAATTAACAATATGATCACTAAAGAGAAAATGCTTTGATCTTTTATCAAATTCTCTCATCCAATTCTTTAAGGAAATTGATGGGGATCTGTTCAGAGAGTTTGGACATTAATTGGGGTTTACAGGGTCTGTTTCAAGTGAATGGTTTAGTGTTAAAAAAGATTGAGCTCTGGTTGACTGGCAAAGGTGACTGGAAAATCATGCACTTAACAAATAGCACCATGTGTGATGGTGCCAATTCTGTTATTTAATAATACTCGTGTAGACAATAACTCTTTTGCTCTACCAATGAGCATACATCATTTCTACAGACTGATATACATGTAGGTTTAAGAAGACTCAGTCACTTACCAACCAATCTTGGCTCTCATCTACACTGACACACCCAATCCAGGAACCTAACTGGGGTCTGTGAATGTCCTGCAGTGATAACATTTTCAACAATACAGTAATTAAAATGTCAAAAAATGATGATCATGGTAGGTTTATGACTGAACTGCATTGTTTTTTCAAAAAAAACAACATTTATTTGAGTGCCAATGTATTTAGCACGAAAGTATTAATTGAAGACACTATTTTTACGTCTCCTACTGGAGGTGGGTATGCAATTTTTCGTGGTCATCTGAGTTACGCAAAGGTCCAACCACCTGCAGTGCAAAGGGAGTACCTTCATTTCTCAGTTATTTTAAGACCCTGAGTGATGGTCTGGCCCCGGGAATCAAACCCGTGACCTCCCGCTCTTCAGTCAAGCCCTCTACCGACTGTGCTAATCCTGCCTAAATTCAAAGTATAGTTCTGTGAATGGTTTAAGCCCAGGAGCGATGACATAAGGAAGCGGATAAGGACTGAATAGGATTAGAACTAAAAAGAGCTGTTGTTGACAGTGATTGACGTTACAATATCCTGGACTGCATGATAGTCATGCTCAGGGTCAGAATGAGTTGTATCCCATAGGTTGATGGTATTAACCTCTGGTTATTGACCTGATTGGTCTATTAACACTCATTGTTATTGGTCATCTGTCAGTTAAGCTGTGATTATTAGCTAAAAAGTCTCTAAAATGTGAGTGGTGCATGCATGGTAGAACACTTTTTTTCTTGGTCAAATTGTTGGTTTGTCCAGTCACTCTATTGTTTTCAGTTTTGCTTCAGTTTGTCAATAACTTGTTCGTATTAATACACCATAGATATAACCTGGTTAAATTCACTTCTGTACCTCATTTTTGCATGGTTCTATTAAACCTGTGAGTGTTCCTTTGGTTCTGTAATCTGAAAACAGAGATAAAAGTATTCCCTTTAATTCTAAGTTTCAATCACTTCTCTACAAACATGACACGACTTCTATAGCATGACCCTTTCAAAATGATCTTGTGGGCGAAAATGATGTGGTCATACAATTTATTGTCATGTGTAATGTGGGGTTCCCTGTATGAATATTTTTAGTTTTCATGTTCCTATAAAAGATTATAACAACAACAAGTCCAGATACAATAGGTTTCAACAGATGAGTAGATTGCAAATCTGCTAACCCCATAATCTCACAGTGCCGTCTTCAGCTCCACTAACACACTGGCTGTGTTTTGTCCTGAGGCAAAGACACTGAATATAATCCCTGTGACCGGTGAGGGTATTCTAGAACAATGTACAAGAGAATTATCAAAGATTAAAATAAAACCAATTCATAAAAAAATAATTATTATTATAACATTATATTGTACCTACAGTTTTGAAAACTGAACAAATCAACCTCTCTGTCAGAATTAAGGAAGTTAGAAGAGAAATGAAATTGAAGTTCAAGCTAGCTAAGCCAGTGACATTTTCAAGAGGTATATTTAACAATTATTCCTCAAGCCCGAATGGGCTCTGAGTCAATAGGCCATGAGGCCGAAGGCCGAATGGGCTATTGACTCAGAGACCATGAGGGCGACAGGAATAATTGTTTTAGTAAAATCCAACTAGTTGGTCAAATATATCGAGAATAAAAAAATTTTAGCTAATTAAAGCTAGACTTTAATCCTTTTTTGCCGCCAAAAAGCCTGCACTTTTCGCTACTAGTGGGCTATTACATATAGCCTAGTAGTAGCTCAACCAATCAGAATGCAGCATTGATAATAGACCACTAGTTGGATTTTACTAATAACATTTAGCAAATTATCAAACAGCAGACAAACCAAACAAAAAGACGAAATTCCTATGAATGGTACATCCTGGCACAGCTTTAAGAATAACATGGGTTTTGAAATCGCTAAGAACTGGCAGAGGTACATATATACAACTGTAATACTGTCCCAAGTGGCTCTTGATGTAATATCAATTTCTCATTTTTCAAGTGGCTCTTGATGTAAAATCAAATTCTCATTTTGCTTTTTACAAGTACAACCAAGACAATAAAAATTAAGAAGCAGTTTATTGAATTCACTAAGGGCTTTTTTTTTCCCTAAACTGCTACATTATTAACCTGGGGAGCAATGTGAAAAAGGGTGGACGTCAGGAGCCAAAGATTGATTCAGGAGGCAGGAGAGTATGGTATGGGAAGCAGGATTGAGGTCTTACCCCTCCGACAGCTTATTAGAAAGGAAATAATAGCTCTGCCCACTGGCTATTGGACACCTTACTAGCCATGAATATTAAACAATAAATATTTCATTTGAAACAAAACTTGTATCACCTTACAGGTTCCTGAGTCCAAATCCCACATGTAGATATTGTTATCTCCACAACCTGAGAATAGAGTATCCTCCTAGAAAAGTAAATCATATCACAGACACCAATAATTTTGTGTTAGAGACTGTTGTGAGTGTTGTTTCCAAATACACATGCACGCTTACCATTCCATGGATGAGAAATTTTCAATACTGCACAAAGCGAAGCCAAGTGAAATTGTGGAAGAAAAATTGATGGAGTGACATTTTTATAGCATAATTTTACTGTAACACAAATAATAAGAATGAAATATTACACATATTATCACTTCTAAGAATAAGCTGCCACTAAAGCGGCAAAGAATTAACATAAATATGTTATATATACTTCCTAAAGATATATTAAAATAATTAGATGCCTGAAAAGTGCAAAATAACAAATGGATATTTAAGCCAACAGTAATAATATCACCATTATTATTATCAATTTTTGAGAAACAACATACCTGACTGGCAAACACTAGAGCATTGGTTTCAGCTACATTCAGAGAATTTCTTGATAAACAAAAATCAATATACAATATTATTAGCAAATACTTTTATATAAAGCTATTTACATGTAATAGCAACACAACTGAAATGAGCAATTGACAGCGTTATAATATGCCACGCATACTAAGTTTTGCCAATTTTAATGGCATACTTTTCCTCTTAGCCAATATACATGTATGTTTGATTTTTAAGTAAGGTTGTACTCTTTCTTTAATTAACTATAATGATAGTAGAACCAGAAATGCATTTATAGCAAATAAAATGAAGAAAGTTGGTCTTTGAAATTTGTTGTCATTATTAATAATTCTGACTTTGTGATCCATTTCATTGATTTTAAAAGTGTCAAGTGAGGTAACGTTATTAATAAATACATTGCTTTTGGTACAGGAATAACAGCAACCTCGTTCCCAGGGTTCTCTCCTAACCGCCCCCATGGAGCGAGAGAGAGAGAGACCCTGGAAAAGGCTGGTCACATGTCTCCCAGGAGAAAAAAAACCCAGGAAGGGTCCCTGTTTCTGAAAGTTTTGTCGCCACAAATTTTTATCAACATCAATATGAGGCAGACTTTTCTCATTCGAGATCTGCCATGTTTTATAGCTGCCTTCAGTCCGCGATCGTCAAAAGCAGCTACTGGAATATCAATATTAAACCGAAACAAGTAAAGTGTCTGGAGGCAGCCGGGAACGGGATACGGGATACGGAAAATCCATAATCTTCCATTTGCTGCCTGGACTTTTTTTTTTCGGCAAAAGTCAGTTCTCGAGCAACAGAACAGTCGCCTATTCATCCAGTTATTATCGCCGTTTCGCCGTTGAATGCTTTAATAAGTGATCAGATCAGAAGAAGTACTGAGGGAAAACTCAAAGCGGCTATACTCAATGTGAGAAAGGGAAAGAACGGCGAAGACCTTGAGCTCGATGATACTAGCGTTGCAAACTCCTCTTGGCTCAAGGATGCGAGATATGACATAATTTTTACCCATCCTGAGGCCATTTTGTGATGCAAAAAGGGGATGGAGCTGTTCCAAAGCCAACCGTATAAACAGTGCGTCCAAGCAATAGTTATTGATGAAGCTCATTGCATTCTAGAATGGTAAATTATTAGCGACATAGTAACAATATTCTCTCTCGCTCCATGGGGGCGGGTAGGAGAGAACCCTGGGAACGAGGTTGGAATAACAGACGATTAGATTCACGTCTTAATCCCCCATTGTTTCCTTCTTATTAAAATATTTAGCAGAAGTTTATACGAAATACTCTGGGCGCAAATAGTATCAATAAATTCATGGTATAAAGTGTTATGGGAATACCAGTTGACTATACAAACAGTAGTGTATTGTACCTGGCTGAAGGCTGAAGTGTCCACGCTGGTAATGGAGACTGGTCAAACAAGAGAAAAACAGTATGTCAGTCTAAGACATGCTATCTGCATAACATTTCTTGAATATAGGCAGAGCTGTGCTAGCAGAGGCCCATGGCTCCCAGCCCCTTACTAATGATGAAGATGACTACCACACAGGTTGACAAAGTGTCAGTTATTTTCAAAAACAGTCCCATTCTGGACTAACTCACCCAACACCACGGCAAAATGAACTGCTCATGAGCGAAAAATAATATTCAACATCCAGTCACTTTCGTATTTCCAGTTGCATATATAAACCATCTGAGAAAACATAAAATTCCTTTAAGGTAAGTAAATGGAACCAACCTCTGTTTTTTCAAGAATTTCATCCCACCGCCAGCCATGAATTTCAGATGAGCCACCACTACAAACACACAAAAAAAACATAATTCAGTCACCGCTTAAACAATATTCATTGATAACAGCAATCTATGACTTAAAAGCTTGATAGTTAAATAAAAGCATACCTTATAAGAAACTTTTCAGTTGATATGAGACTGTAGATTGCACCATTATGGCCTGAAAAAAACTTTATCTTTAGACAACCATGATGTGTTCAATTAACTGGTGCCAAATTACATCAGATCAATAACATTGACCAAAACCACAGCTGAAATCAATTAACTAGCACCCATCAGTCGACTGCCAGCAAACAGTGGACACACCCATTACAATAACAGATAACAAGAACTTATCCAGAGTAGAAAAGAGAGTTCAAAAAAAGGTGTTTTTATGTGTTTACCTTGGAAAATTATTATTGGTCTTTTCTTATCAGAAGATGCATCTGGTTCTAGTGCAGACACAACACTAAGTACAAAAATAATATCCACAAAATGGTTACATATGAATTCTAAAGCAAAATTAATAATAAAGAAAACTAAGACATTACAAAGTACAGTATACACTGTAAACAGTACAACCTGCTGTTGTGTGGCAGGTATAAAACACAGGTCACTCAGGTCATGTCAGGTCAATAAAACGTATATCAATGGTTGTGCTGCTTGACATGTCTAAAGCTTTTGACAGCATCCAACATGACAACTTATTATCGAAACTGCATTAACTGGGTGTGTTGGACTTTGCTCTAGCCTGGTTTAAGGGTTACCTATCATTATGCAAACAAGTGGTTAGGATTGGCAGTGTCCTATCTAACCCCCTTCCACTGACAGTCGGTGTGGCCCAGGGGTCCATTCTCAGTCCAGTTTTGTTCACATTGTATGTCAACAGCCTTCTCTCTGTACCAAAGAAGTGTGAAGCCATAGGCTATGTAGAAGACACCAAGCTGCTTTGGGCTCTTCCCCCTCCAGACATCAGAGTTGCCATAGAGTACTAAAGTGTGATGTCATAAAAATGAAATTTCTGAAATTATGGGATTTGCCATTTTTTGGGTTAACCCCCCCCCAAAATTAGATGGGTTTGTATGGAGTTTTTAAGTATAACTGGGCTACGATCTCAGAGACAATTTGCCCCGAAATGCTCATTTTTGGCAAGTAGGCCTCTTGGACATTGTTCTTTCAGAATATCCTGACAAATTCCATAATTTCAGAAATTTCATTTTTATGACGTCATCACTTTAGTACTCTATTTTTAACCTCAATAGTGATCTCCGCGAGATTGCAAATTGGTGTTCAACAAACTCTCTGTTAATCAACCCTAACAAAACTAAGCTCCTTATTGTTGGCGTTCCACAACTAACACAAAACTTATCTTTACCTCCTGTCATTCTATTGGGGACAAACATCAAGCCCTCTCCTGTTGTAAAAGACTTAGAGGGCCGGATCGACTCTACCGTAACTTTTGATGACCATGTATCTAAACTGTCCTCAAGCTGCCTGTATGATCTACATCGCATCAATAGAATTAAGCATC